TCAGCTCGGAGCCTGGAGCCTGCTTCGGATTCTGTGTCTCCCTCTCTCTCTGCCCCTCCCCTGTTCATGCTCTGTCTCTCCCTGTCTCAAAAATAAATAAACGTTAAAAAAAAAAATTTCAAATGAGCCACCCCGTTCTCTTGCCTTTGCTCGCAGCAGACATCACTAATCGACTGCGGCGTTTTCTCCAGCGTTTGAACGAGGCCTCAGACTCCTGCTCAACACAACCCTACAGTCACTGCCAATTGACCGGAGTTGGCCCCAGAGACGAAACTGATCTGACACCACTTTGAGGCCAGGGGGAGTGTCTCGCTCATCTCTCCATCCCCACATACCTAGCAAAGTTGCCACGTACCCAGTAGGCACTAACACGTGTTTACTGAATTGAAAGCAATTGCTTATTTTTCTACCCCCTTGGGGCTATATATAAAGTAGGTGCTAATAAATGTTTGCTAAGTTAGGTGACTCATCTTTGCAACCCAGACAGAGCCAAGTATACTAGAGGCCTCGTACATAATGGGTGCTAATAAACATTTGTGGATTTAATTCAATTACTTATCTTTACATCCCCTGCAGTGCCCAGAATAAAGCAGTGGCTAATAGATGTGTGTTGGCTTGAACTTCTCATTTCTGCATCCTCAACAGTGCCAAGCATACTGTCTTATACGTAGTTGGCATTAATAAGTAGGTGCAGTTGGATCGTGCATGAAAGCCCTGCGGAGACTCGCTGTCCCCTGGCCAGGTTGTGACACTCGTGGGTAGGGGTCTGGTGCCCGCAACATGAAGCGATTGTCCAGTCCAAGTCTTTTCTCTCAAAACTCACTCTCTTGTTGATTTCATCCAGCCTCGACCTTTAAGTTCCTCCTCTCTGCTGATGACTTCCACAGTTGAATCTCTGACCCTGATCGAGCTCCTGACCTCCAGACTCAGAGATCCAACTGTCCCCTTGACAACTCCACTGGCATTGCTGGTAGACGTCTTAATGTTAACATGTCTGAGAGTGGAGTCTTCATTTTGTGCTGTAATCTTGCTCTTTCTGGAGCATTCCCCATCTCAGCATCATCCTTGCCTTGTCTCTCTTTCACCCCCCAATATCCAATCCCTCCCAAACCCCGTTGATTCCACCTTCAACAGGCATCCGGAATCCCATTCCTTCTTAAACCCCACACTCGCCTACCAATCAGCCTCTCCTCTCGCCCGCACGATCGCAGCTGCCTCCGCGCTGATCTCCCTACTTCCAAGTGTGTTCCCGAAAGTCTATTCTCAACATGGTGGCCAACAAGTCGGCCTTTAAAAGTGTAAGTTCGATCACGGCACAACCAAAATCCTTTCAATGGCTACAACGTCCTACGTGATCCGGCTTCCGTAACCTCTTCTGATCTCATTGGACACCCTCCCCTCCTCTCTTACTCCTCTCTTCACCCACACTGACCCCTTGCTATTCCTCAAAGGTGACAAACACACAATGCCTCAGGGCCTTTGCACTTGCTGTTTTCGCTGCCCGAACAGTCTCCCTCCAGCTTAGTGATTCTCCAAGTGTGGTTCCTGAGCCAGCAATAGCAGCATCGCCTCGGAATTTTTTAAAAATGCAAACATTTCTAAAAGCCCAGACCTGCTGAATCAAAAACCCTGGGGGCAATAGGGACATCAGTCTGTATTTTAACAATACACTGTAATGTGGGTGCACAACAAAGTATTAAACCACTGTTTCACATAGCTCCTTGGTTCCTTCAAATGTCCTCTTTTATTAAAAAAAAAAAAAGGCCACCCTGACTCCTCTTTCTAGAATAGCACTCCCCCAATATAATGCCCAGTTCCCTTAGCTTCACAGCATTTGGACCACAGGGCTGATGCTATATTGGCTTGTTTATTTCTTTCTTGTCTGTCTCCTTGCTCTATACGTATGTAGGTTTCCTAAGCATCCCCAACGCCTGGCACAGAGTAGGCACTCAGTAAATGTCTGTTGCGTGAACGAACCCCTTCGGTGCTTAGAAGAACACTTTGTGCCCAGAGAGAGGCAGGGGCTTGCCCAAGGTCACGTAGGGAGCCAGGCCTCCTGACTGTCGGCCGCAGGACCTGCTTCACCGCATCAGGCTCGGCCTGCCTGGCTGCCCCTCCTCAGAAGCGTGGCTCATCGGAGGCCCCCGGCACACTTCCCTTCCTTTTTAAGCTGTGAGCGGTTTAATTTGCGAGCGCCGCCGCCTTTCATGTCCCAAGCTGCGTCTCTGCTCCCTCTGATCTCCGAAGCTGCCCAGATCCTGGTGCCGCCTGTCGGGCCCGCCCTCCTCAGCCCAGATCAGGAGGCTCAGTAATTGTGACTGATTTTCAAAGCTGCCTGCAGTCTCCGCAAGCACCCCGGTGTCAGATTTGCTTTCCCTTCAAAAAGTTGCTCAAATGAAATAAACTAATTTAATTTCTGCTTCCTCCCTCCCCCTCCTGGGTTCCTTGGCTTGTCCGAGTTGAGTCCCAATGCCTGACTCTTCCCTGAGCTGAATGTCAGAGTCAGTAGGCTGGGAGAGGGAGGTGAGGCAGCACAGGGGCGCCTGAGGCTGATACTCACGAATCCACCCGGCGGTGGCGGGTGTGTGTGGGGGTGGGGGGAGGTTCTGCCTCCAACAATCTGGGTGACCTTGGATGTGCCCTTGCCCTTCTCTCGGCCTTGGTTCCCCCAAGTCTGACAGAGACACTGCCACTCCAACAGTCTGGGACCCAAGCCCTGACTTCCTCAATCACCGACTTGCTGTGTGACGGTGGGCACATTTTCTCCTCTCTGAGCCTCAGCGTTCCCATCTGTCCAATGGGGATGCTACCATCAGTCCTGCCATCTCTCAGAGTTGAAGTGGGAGTGAAGTGGTGGAGACCAGGTGGATGCCTCCCTCTGAGTCCCCTGTCCCCACCCGTTCTCCGAACTGTAGTAGAGGGAGCTTTCTAAATGCCCATCGCTCCCTTGCTTAAGTCTTTCCCAGGTTCGGTGCCTCCCTCAAGTCCTTCGGGTATGGTTCTTGCTTCCTTCTCCAGCCTCATCTCTTCCCACCTTTCTGGTCTTTTCTGGTCTTTCTGGTCCATTTGGGATGAAGCGAGACAGGGCCAGAGTCTGAGTGGGTGAGTAGGGGCTGCAGGACCAAGGAAGTCCAAGACTTGCCGTGTGACGGTGGACACATCACTGCCCCTCTGAGCCTCAGTTTCCCCCATTTTCAAAATTGATTTCTAGGTAATCACTGGGCTCTGAAAGTCCACGGGTCTTTGCTCCTGACAACTTTCGATTTATCTCTCCACCGAGCCCATATATTGAAGTGCCTTTCGCAAGGTACTCCGCTTGGCTGTCTCATCAGTACTTCCAACTCAGCACGATGGAAACCAACTCCTGATGTCCCTCCGTCCTCCAGACCTATTCCTCCAGCTGCTCCTCCCGTCTCAGTAAATGGAAATCCCATCAGTTTAATTGCCCAGGTCAAAATCTCGGGAATCATCCCCGAAATTGTCTCTCTCTCGCACCCCGCATCCCATCCATTAGCAAATGCTTTCAGCTCTACTTTCAAAATACACCTCATAGTCGACCTCTTCTCTATACCCTTACTGGTCCCACCTCGTTCCAAGCCACCATCATTTCCTGCCCAGGTAATTGCAATATCCTTCTCAATGGGCAATCTGCTTCTGTCCCTGCCCCACGGCCAGCCCCACCACCATCTATTTTTCACAGAACAGCACGGGATCCTGTTAAAACTAAGTCAGATTGTATCCGTCCTCTGAACAAGCCTCTCCACTCACTTCCCGGCTTGCTCAGCATAAAAAGCAAAGCCCCGACTATGGTCCACAGGGCTGCACGACCCGATCGCCTCTCCACTTCTCCTCTGGGCCTTTGCAGCTACAGTTCCCTAGGCCTGGAATCCTCTTCCCCCAGGGCCCATCCTTCACAACCTTCAGGCCTCTATTCAATGTCATCTCCTCAGATAAGCCTGCCCAGGCCGATGACGTGTGTGTTCACTTGCTTCCCGCCTGTCTTCCTCAGCCAGAAACTATCCTCCGTGATGGGGAGACTTGTCTGCCTTTTCAATGCCATGTTCTCAGTGCCTGGCACATAGTAGGTCCTTGTACATGCTTGTTAAGTGAATGAATGAATGCACTCAAACAGACACATAGCACGTCCTGTGCACGCACAGGCCTTAAGGTGCCGTTTGACCAGCCACATCTGGTCACTGCACACTCACGTGTGAATGCACATGCACACCAGGCATACGTGCGGACCTGCGCGCGCGTGTGTGTGTGTGTTTACAGCAGCCTGCACCCACATTCATGGCCTCCTGTAGCTACACTCTGGTGGAGCCCGGCCCGCGGAGGGTAACGTCTGTCTGCGGCTCTTGCCCGTGTCTCTGTAGGGGTGGCTGTGTCTGTGCGTCAGCTCCATGTGTGTGGGGGGCTGTTTCCTGAGTGGGGTCGTATGTGGCTGCGCTGGGGGTGAGGTCATGTCTGGTTGTGTGGCTAGGCCTCGTTTCAGCTGTGTTCGGCTCTGGCCGTTTCCAGGTACAGGTGCGCCTGCGGGCAGGTGCACCCGCGCCTGTGTAGGGGCTGTGGCCAAGGGCCGTGCGAGGTCTGCGTGAGGCTGAGCTCCGGGGAAGAGCCGCGTGCAGGTCAGCCGAGCTTGTAAGTGGGGCTGGGTCCGTGTGCGTGACTGCACGTGGGGCGTGTCCGTGTCCCAGGGTGTCGCTGCGTCCACACGTAGGGCCGTGTCCGTGTGGGGTCTGTGTCCGTGAATGTGCCCGAGGTCATGTGTGTGCCTTTGTCCAGGGGCGCAGCTGTGACCGGGTCCTAACTATGCCTGAGCCCCTGCGGGCACCTGGGCTCATGCCCGTACCCCCTGCCTGCCTGGAGCAGCGGTCCCTGTCTCTCCTGCCCCTCTAGGGTGTCAGCCGGTCCCCACAGCAGGCTCCCACTCAGAGCCCCGTAGCTCCCCTTCCCCCACGCCCTGGCTCAGCCCCGCGCCTCTGGAGCCCGCCGCCCACCTGTGGGTGAGAGCTCAGCCACGCTGCCAATGTAGGGGCCGTGCAGGAAGCGGGGCTCGCTGTCGTTGATGTCCTGGACCTTGATGATGAACTCCGACTCAGGCTCCAGCAGGCGGTCGGTGGCGCGGTCCCGGGCCTGAGCCCGCAGCGTGTAGAACGTTTTCTGCTCCCGGTCCAGGCGCTCCATGGCATGGATGTCTCCCGTCAGCTCATCAATCAGGAAGATGGTCCCAGCGCCCTCGCCTGAGATGGTATACTTGATGGCCCCGTCACCCTCGTCCGAGTCCGAATGGATCTGGGGAGGCAGCGGGGGGGGGGGGGCCCGCCCGCGGGGCGGGGGGGGGGCGGGCCTTGGTGCTTGCATTTCGAACAAGCTTCCAAATGGCTGTCTCTGACCTCATCCTGAGTTCTAGGTCCAACCCCCGCCAAACTCTGAGCCTGGCATGTGGTGGGGACAGGGAGCAGAGAAAGGGAGGGGGGAGGAAAGGGAATGCACACTGAAGGGGCACCTCCTCCGTGCCAGGAGCTGTGCTAAGCAATTCACGTACTTCTTTAAAAAAAAAAACAAAAAACAACCTGCTAGAGGAGGTTTTCTATCCTTATTTTACAGCTGGTTTTCTTTTTCCTTTTCCTCCTCAGGACTAGAGTCGTGGGATGGTCTGCTCAAGGTCAGACAGCTAGAGGAACGGATCTGGCCTCCGGCTTGGGCTTTCTCACTCCGTCGTCAAGCCTTCTGGGAGCAGCCCTCGGGGAGGAGGAGGCAGTGCGACGTGGCCCTGGCTAGAGCATCATCCCCCTGGGTGTCCCCACACAAGTCACTGCACCTCTCTGGGCCTCCCCAGTCACCTCCTCTGTAACACGTGGATCATACGGGCACCTCCCTCCTCGAGGTGCTGGGGGGCTCAGTTTAAAGTCCACAGAAGATATTAGCACTTGCCTGGCACCACGGGGCACGTGATATTTACCAGCCAACATGGCGGGGGCACTGCCATGGCATCGCAGCAGGGCCCTTGCTGGGCCAGGCAGGACCCTGTGGCTACGGGATGAGGGAGAGGTCCAAGATGCTGAGGCAACTGGGGCCAAGGGAGAGGAGAGAGATTATTTACCTTTCCACTATCTTAACGACCGGCTCAACTGTACTGGTGTGTACCAGCTGAAAATCAGCCCTACCAGAGACATAATAAGTGTCCAATAAATGGTAGCTATCGTTATTATTATATTATTTACTAAATGTTAGCTATATATAACTGGGATTTAATCCAGGCACTGTGAGGCTCCAAAGCCCAGGCTGTTTTCACTGAACTCAGATTTCTTGGGCAAGGGACCAGGAGGAAGGCTATTCTCCAAAACGGAAACGCCTAGGTCCCGATCCTCTAATGCCCAAATTTCTGAGGCAGCTCTAGGCACAGGGAAAATCATCCAATGAAGCTGGTGACCTTGGGGGGGGGGGGTCCCTGCCCCGCTCTAAGCTTCTACAGAGATTGAATGCGAATGACAGAATCCTTAAGGCCCCTTTCGGGCCAGGATGCCATGTACCCCAGCCCACTCAGCAGGATAACAGGTGCCAATGAAGTCTTCATGGAGAAGAACGAAAGCCCACCCCTTGCCACGCGGGAGGAACCCGGGTATAAATTCTGCTAGTGGAACTCTGTGTCTGAAAGGTGGATTATAGAAGTGCCATTTGGAAGATTGAATGGCCCATAAACATTTTCATATTTCATTAGCCGATTAATGGGCATCTCTCTCTTTTTGGCGAGTCTGCTGATTCTCAGCAGAAATTGCGGGGAGTAAATGGAGGCGTCTGGTGGAAACTTTCCGGGTCCCCGTCCTGTTATAGATTGCCCCAATTAATGCCCGTTCTGGGCTCCACCGAGAAGCCTTCTTCCTGTCCAGTTACTGTTAATAGATTTCTCATAAGTGGCTGGATTGTAAAAACCTCATAACTCAGTTTAATGCCCCCAATAAAATTATCTCAGGACGTCAGCCCTGAATCATCGGCAGTGCCGGGGATGAGAAGACCCGTCTCTCCTGTTTGCTGTTTATGTCTCCCTCCACCTTTGCCCAGGGGAGATGGGGAGAGGAGAGGGTCAACTCGTTCCGTCTGCGAGTGCCTCCACGCACTTTCCAATCGGACGTGTTGTCTGCTTGTTGTGTCAGTGAACGTTTCTGAGCCGTGTGGTGGAACAGACAGCCTGGGGGGTGATTCTTAACAGCTATCATCTAAGTAGTTTGCAGCTCTGCCCTAGGAAATATATTATTCTCCCCATTTCTCAGATGAGAACACTAAAGCACAGAGAGGGGAAGTCATTCGCTGTGTCACACAGCTAAGTTCGGGAAGCCGATCTCCTGATCCCATCGCTCACCCACGCTGGGATCATGGGCTTGTTCATGTTTCCTCTCTGAGTCCGTTCGTCCACCTGAGAAACTAGATCAAACCCTTCTGACACAGGTGCAGTGAGGATTAAAGGAGAGCACTTCATGATGACCCGAACCCTCTGTAGATCATCGCCGCCTTCCCTTTCTGTCCCCTGGCTCTCTATCCTGTCCCTGCAGACCTTACTTGCTTACATGTGAACTCAGACTCCGGGCAGGGATCACTCACGAGTGACGGGTGGGGAGGAGGGAGTGGAACCCAGCGGCGATGTCACCGATGTCCTTCTGTGAAGAATGACCTGGGGCTTACGCGGTGGCCCAGTGGCTACCCTCCGGGGACTGCAGAGTCAGACCGAGCTGAGTGACGTGAGCCAGAACCAAGAGCTCAGAGCTGCGGGTTTGGGCCTGGCTGGGGCTGCCTGCCCAGCCTGCCTGGGTCCCAGCTCCGGAGTCAGAAAGTGCACCTGGGTCTCCATCCCAGACGGACACTTCTCAAGACTCTCGGTTGTGAGTGGAGGCTGGAGGACAGTGCTCTTATGTACAGAGTGCCTACTATGTGCCAGATGTGTTGTGGGGCCTCTGTAGAAATCTAATTCCACGATGGAATCAGATGCACATCAATGTATCCCCCTTTCCCAGGTGAGGAGACTGAGCTGGGCTTACATCTGTTTGACTCCAAAGTGCAGTTTGTCCGTCTGTGGCCCCTGCGAATCTGTCAGCCTGGCTGGAGGAGGGGGCCCGGACACACACCCCTTCTGCCTCGTCCCGGCCCCAGTCACAGGCGGCCTCTCTTTCATCATTTGGGAGAGGACTGCACATCACAGATCAGGAGAGGTGACGGGCTTTGGCTTCAGGACCGGCCACCGGAGTAGCCTCTCCACTGCCCTGCTGCGTGGCCCTGAGCCAGAAGCTGCCCTTCTCCTAGCCTCAGTTTTCTCATCCGTAAAGGACACGCTGTTGCTCCCCTGCGCTCCAAAGATCCATGAGACAATGTGTGGAAGCTTCTGGCACATGGTAGGTGTTCGATGCAAATTAGTCTCCTTTTCCCACCCCGGTCTCAGGAGGGAGTAAGGGTCACCCTTCGTCCCCGTCTCCTGACACAAGACCACAGGCTGAAATCGTGACCTGACGGAGAGACAGGGGCATCATCTAGTACCTTCTAGTACCGTCGTCTGCCTTTAATGTTCGTTTTTGAGAGAGAGAGAGAGAGAGAGAATGAGTGGGGGAGGGGCAGAGAGAGAGGGGACAGAGGATCCGAAGCGGGCTCTGTGCTGACAGCAGCGAGCCCAACGCGGCGCTTGAACTCTCGAGCCGCGAGATCATGACCTGAGCCGAAGTCAGATGCTCAACCGACAGAGCCACCCAGGCGCCCCCTACCTTCTTGTCTTTTAAACCTAGCTTGTTTTCTCCTTCAGGCAACCCTCTGAGGTGCCCCCCACCCCCACTTCATCCTGCGCACGCTCCCCCCACTGCTCCACACTTCCCCAAACACCTCAGTGTCGCACATCTGTCTCCCCAGCTGTCCTGAGCTTCAGGGGTGTGGACTAACTTTGATTCATGCCCGCTGAACTCCCCATGCCTGGGCCTGCAGAGAAAGTACGGGGGAAGTGAGAGAATGGAGTGTGCGCGTGTGCATGTGTGTAAGAGTATATGCACGTGTGAGTGTGAGACGTGAACGCCTTGAGGACCAAGCATGTGGCTGTCGTTCCCATCTACCCAGGACCCAGCACACAGCCTGGCACCAAAACGTATTGAATAAATGAACACGAAACATACAGCTGCCAGTAAGACTTCCCAGCTGCCTTCTGGGATTTCTGGAGGATCCGATCACTGTTAAACCCCAGGTGGAGAAGAGCCACCAGACACACGTCTAGACCCTTTACCGTAACCTCACTGATGTCTCATTATGATCTTGTGAATCAGAGGTTTTTCTCTCCCTGCTGCACAGATTGGCAAGCCGAGGCTCAGAGAGGGCCTATATTCCACCTAAAGTCACACAGCTAACAAGAGGCAACCCTGAGGCCTCACTCTGCATCCTGGGTTCTTTCCTCCACGGCCTCCTCCTCCTCGAGTGTGGACTGGCCCAGAGGAAATTCCCCCTCCTCAAGCCCCAGCCCTTGATCATAAACAATGTGGAAAACACAAGAGTGATGGCTTCTCATCCCGGGGGGAGCTGAAAAATGGGATTTATGAGGCCATTAATTACTTCCTCCTAATTAAATCAAAATTAAATGCGAGCAGAGGTACGTTTTCCTTATTAAAGACAATTAAACGGACAGCGCAGCTACGCAAATAAAACGAGTCCAGGATTTAAACGGAAAGCAAATCAAATAAAAAGCCTCCCCCCCCCCCCAGAATGAGGGGGTCTGTTCACGCCTGTGCTTCTCGTAAACCAGGAGTTCATCAATTTTCTTTAAATATTAGCAACTTAATTAAATCTGCTCTCCTCCCCGCTTTAATCCTGCTGTATATCTAAAATAGATCTCACCGCCCACAGGAGTTGGTCATAAGTGCTGACCCCATAATTCTATCTTTTTTTTAAAAAAAATTAAAAAATCCTACAAAATCCACATCCAGCTGACAGAAGCCCCGGGGGAAATTACAGTTCGGAAAAGGGATTAGTCAAAGTACCCAGATTGTATGGAAATCTGGGAGGTTGATTTGAGGGTGGGTGCTGCGGGAAGGTTCCTGGAAGAGGTGGGCCGGGCTGCTGAGGGGGCAGGACCACGGAGGGAGCCGCCGGTGCGGGGCCTGGGTGGCGACCACTACCCGCTACGGGGCCCCGGCGGTTCCTGCGGGTGCCGGGTGGCGACAGGAGTCTGGCAGTGAGTGATGAAGAAGGCGCTTGTAAAATAGGTTACCGTTGGGCGCCCGGGGTTCACTCGGCGGATGGTGCTGTTGCTAAGCTACCTTTGGAATTCGACAAGGACGGATGCTCCCAGCGGCTCCCTGGGGCGGGGGACCGGGAAGCAGTGAATTCACGGAAACGAGAAGTCCTTGCTTCCCAAAGAGCCAGAGAGTGTGGTATGAGTGTGTGTGTGTGTGTGTGTGTGTGTGTATGTGTGTGTATGCGTGTGTGCACATATGACCGCCCACACGAAGGTGGGGCTCGGCTGGGAAGGAGACAGGTGGTTTTTAAAAGTCCAAGCTCATGTTCTTCATATTCCTATTGAATACGGAATATTCAGAGACCACCTGCCCCCTGCCCACCCCCCTCACCCCCCGCACCGCTTCGTGGTGAGAAAGCAGGACTTCGGGTTGCCAAGAAGGCTTTCGGGGTTTGGGGCAGGGGTTTGTAGTGTTCTGTGTAGCTGGGAGGCTCGAGGTGGTGGGAATACCAGGCGAGACCTCTAATAATAAAAGCTAATACGGAGCACATGCCAGGTGCAGGTACGAGCTATGCTAGGTCCTTGACATATGCTAACTCGGGGAACCCTCACCGCAACCCTTTGAGGAGGGGATAGTAACAGCCCGTCTCAGCAGATAAGGAACCCAGGGTTCAGAGAGGTTAAATAACGTGCCCAAGATCAGAGAGACAGTAAGGGGCAGAGCTGAGATCCGAGCCCGGCTGCCTGGCTCCAGCCGGCCCCCTTGAGCCACACGCTGTATGCTGCTTTTCCGAAGAAAGCGTGCTCTGGGCAAATGTTTGCAAAGGGGTGGAAACTCTCTCTCCTCCCTGCACAGAGGTGGGCTCTGGGAATAAGAGAGGGGGGCTCGGGGTGAAGATGCCGGAGGGGAGGATAACACCGTCGTGACAGCAGTGGGGATGTTGGGAGAGGCTGCCTCAAGGAGAAGGACACCGGGGCGGGGCACGGTGCTTGGCTCACAGCCAAGGGCAGTTACACTGCACTGGGCCCGCAGCTGGTGTCGGGATATCGGGTCTCTTGGGTTGGTTTGGTCACCAGGTTGCTAGGTGACCTTGGTATGATGTTCTCTGCCTCAGGCCTCAGTTTCCCAGCCTTATAATGAAGGGACTTAGTAAGGTGACAGACGGTGTTTCCTGGAGACAGAGGTAGGGTTTCCACGGCATGCTAATGGCTCGCCTCGCCGGATGCAGTGCAAAGTGCTGAATCAGGGGTGGGTTTCCTTCATCCTTGCAGGACCTGGGTGGCTGGGGAGGCCTCAGGGCCCCAGTGGCCGGGCAGACAACAGAGCCCAGGTACCCGAGATCATCAAGCTGACGTTTAGGCGGATGTGTCCGAGCCCTTCTCCGTCTCTCTGGGGTTTTCCTGGACCCAAGTCCATCTCCCAGGCCTGGATGTCTGGGAGAGGTTTGGAGAATGTCTGGGAGAGTGTTTCAGAGGAGAATGAGGAGGAGACAACAACGAACGTGCGGCAGGCTGAACACCGAATAGGCTGTTTTCTTCCTTAATCCTTCCAACAACTCTAGGACGTGGGCTCTTGTAGCCGCCCTTTTACAGATGAAGACACAGGTTCAGAGGGGTGAGATAACTCGGTCAAAGTAATATGGTTCACGGGTTGGCAAAACCAGGCCCGAAACTCAGGTGCGTCTGGCCCCCGAGCCTGCCTTCTTAGCTTTCCTCACCATCAGCTACGGCCCGGACGGTACTGGTTCCTTCTTCCCCACCCCCGACTCCATTCTGCCAGCCCCGCCATCTCACTGCCCTGGCTGGGAGTCAGGAGTCCTCGGCTCTGCCACTAGTTGGCTGGGTGACCTTGAGGCCACGTCTGGAGGGAAAGTAGCCAAGGACCAGGGATTACTGTGTCTAGACCCAAAGAAAATCTAGGTTTCTTGCAAGACAAACCTAGAGATTTACATCAAGGCTTTCCTCCCCTCCCTGATCCCTGAGCCTCTGAAATGAGCACGTTGGTCAGTCTCCCAATTCTCAGACTCGTTAAGCACACAGGCAACTCCAGAGTTGGTCTCTTCCCCGTGTCGGCCGACCAAAACTTCCTGGAAGGCTGACCGGCCTCAGCAGAAACCAGAGAACTGTACCCTAGAAGCAGCTTCTGCCTCCATATCTCAACTGCTGACAAGCCTCTGAATAAGCCAGCCTCCTTCAGGCCTCCAAGTCTTTGCAGAGGCTATGCCCTCTTCTTCATCAGCCTGATGAACTCCTACTCATACACCAAAACCCAGCTCAGGTGTTTTTCTCCTCCACGAAGCCAGCCAACAGATACCATTTGTTGACCGTCTGCTCAGTGCAAGGTGCTACCCTGTAACGTGTTACCAGAGCATTTCTGCTATTCCGGGGAGCCTCCAAATGGCAGAGGCTGGATCTTACTAGCCTCTGCCTCTCCAGCATCACACCTATGCGGGGCTAGGGATTGGAAGGGCTGAACAAAAGTCCTTCCCAGCTTCATACACTCCGAAGGCACAGATCCTTAGCCACATTCACGAGCATTTACTCAGGGAGTTTGAGAAAGTCACTTTCATTCATTCTTCATTCATTCATTCATTCATTCAATGAACAGTTTGCGAGCAATGTCTGTGCTGGATTTAACAGTAAGCAAAACAAATAGGGTCTAATAGGAAAAACATACATGAACTGCATAATCAAACAAACACATGCCTAATTAAGTGCTATGAAGGAAAGCTATGGAGACCTTGGAGGGCACATGACAGGGAGGGATGGCCACATACAGGGGATCTGTCCACGCCTGGTGTGGTCAGGATGGCTTCTTTGGGGACGTGGCATTTGAGTGGAGACCTGAGGGTCAATACAGTGTAATCAGCAGAAAGAGCAGGACCGACCTGTTGCGGGGGAGGAAATCACCCAGGCAAAGCGGCGGGGGCAGGACTGGGCGGGGCACTGTAAGGACCAGCGGGAGAGCCCTGGGGCTGAAACTCAGAGGAGTGTGGCAGATGGGGCTGCAGGGGGAGCCAGATCTCTGTGGGCAACGGGACGAAATTTGGACTTGACCCCAAGCGCGTGGGAAGCTATTGAAGAATTTTAAGCAGAGTGGAGAGAATACGTGTGTGACACGAGCAGATCTGCAAACTTGCTCCTGCATTCTAGATGCAAGACGGGGGGGCCTGGGTTTACCTACTAGCACTCTCCGAGACGCACCGGGGAGAGGGACCGGAGGAGGGCGTGGGGCAGGGGAGGGAAGCGGCGCGCAGGACCCAGTCGTCTGCCCCAGGCGGGGCGCGGCTGGGCGGAGGCACCAGGGACTGGGACGGGGGTTAGGGGAGCTGGGGTCCCTCGCGCCTCCCAGTGGGTGTCTCCGGGGTCCAGGGCGCGGGGAAGCGGGTGCGGGGGCCCACTTTACCTTGCCCACGTACAAGGGCTCGGTGCCCGTGTACTCCTCCACCACGAAGAACTGGTTCCACACCCAGCCGCGCTTGACGCGGCCCGCGCCGGGCGCGCCGTCTTGCCGAGCCCCGGGCGTCGCCGGCGCGGGTGTGCCCGCCGCCCACAGGCGTCCCGGCAGCGGCGGCGGTGGCGGCAGCAGCAGCAGCAGCAGCAGC